CCAGTACCAACCCCCTTACTACGTAGAACAATCAGACCCCTGGGCATATCAAGAACAACATCATTATCAAGAAGAATTTCTCCCACAACCAGAAGGGCCATCGGAGCTGGAGTTACCCATGGTGGCCTTCACGGGCCATTCTGCAGAGCCATGCTACACTCCACAGCCAGATCCAAACTATGAATTGAGGCTTCTCATGGAGCAGTTTGCTCGAGACAGTGAGAGATCATGTGTCAGCATGGATCTTTGTACCCAGGCCTTTCGTGAAACGGAGGAGATCCTCCTGAGCCTTAAGAAGAGCGTTAATGATCTTGAGCGATCTTGTGCACAACCTGCTCCAAATCACCCTTCTGCTACCATACTAGAAGAGGAGGAGGAAGAAGAAGGCTACAAGGACATTGTGGAGCACACTGAAGTTGTCACGGAGAGCTCCCGTGATGATCATGATCAGGAATGTCCTGTCGTAGCCGACCAGGCTGAGGACGAAGTTAAGGTGGAAGAGGCTTGCACCGACCATGAGTTGCAAGTAATATCCCCACCAAACTTCGAGAAACTGCTTAGCAAGGACCCATTTGCAGTGTCTCTTTGCCAGACCAAGGCCACATCGACATCGGTTCCTCTTGGTGGACGCGATGGTGGCCAATCGATGCTGTCATATCTGGTTTGTGAAAATGAGACGAGAGAAGAGAAAAAGAGGTCTCGAGGGTGGAGACTTCATCTGCATCAAGTGCATGAGCCTTCATCACCTGCCACACCACATGCTCGTGACTTGAGACTCCACCTCATCGACGAGAACCTCAACTTCAAGGAGGTTTTGGGGTGGACCGAAACTTAGGAGCCATCGTCTGGCTCACGACTTGAAAGAAGCGCTTGTTAGGAGGCAACCCAACCAGTCGGTTTGCATTTCTTTTTCTTTTTCTCCTCGGTTGAGTCAGTTTTGTTATTTGATTTTAGAGTCAATAACTCAACCTTTGTGAGATTTTGTGTGGTGTTTGTGTTTCGACTACTCTCTCCTCCTGGAATGAACTGCCTGCCTCGTCCACCGTCATTCACCCTTGATCTGGTAACTTCGTTCTACCCTCCTTATCTTTCCTCCATTGAGGACAATGTCGTGCTTAAGTGTGGGGGGATGTTCAATTATGTATGCGGGTGAATGTTTGGTTGTTTGTGTGCTTGGAGCCTAGTCCACTGTCCAAATTTCGAATTGAGGGCTCCAAGTATGTGTTTCCGGGCAAATTGCCTGCTCAGTATACTTTGAATTGACAGTCTCTATAGTAATGTGCAACCTAGGGAGGTAGTGTAGCACTATGGAGGATGTTGAAGTATAAGATTTTTCCTATCTAGCTCTCTTCTGTGCTAGTTGATTTTTTGAATTAGTGGAGCTAAGACCGTTGAATCATGTGGTAATGGTGACTCTATTTGGATTGTGTTATGGACTCGTGTATCGAACATAGTGCTCATGTGGAAAATGGAAAGAGTTGGTTCTCCATGTCGAAATCATTGAAATCTTAAACATGGGGTAAGCCCAACGTGTGCGGCACCGTTCATTGCACAAAATCGGGTTTTGGAGGAGATTTTAGTGATCCTTAGTGGGGTACTCCTGCAAGGTGAAGCTAAGTTGTTTCCAGTACAAGTAAAACTTCCACCCGTTGAGCGGTTTGCCTACTTGAGGATGTGTTTTTAAGGGCACGGATAGAGCTTCCGACCCCCCTTAATTTCATTGACCCTCCACACGAGTTGAGGAAAAGGAGTTAAAAGAAGTACTCTGGCGAGCGCCAGGTGTACAGAAATTGCTCTTGCTCGACTAATAAGGGTCGACCGTGCAAAAGACTGCAGTTGGAACCCCTGTTAAGTGAAAGAAGAAAAAAAAAACAAGAAAAATGTGAATGAAAGTGCAAAAAGGGGTTCCAACGGTGAAATGAAGTGAAAGAGCACCCCGGTACAACGAGTCCTTGGTTGTGAATTGTATGAGTCCCTTTATCCATGGACTGACTGTCTTACTTCCACTGCTTCTCATGATCCTGGGTTGAGTCTAGTACTCGCATTGAGAGAGATAGGGAACGTCTTAGAAGACCAGTTGACCTCGTAAGCTGCTATATGATCTAGAAAATCCTCTACCGACGATCGGGGTTGTTTGTTGCTATAGAGGTCTGGAGAGCTGCATTGGTTTAAGTTAGGTTTGCTTGGGGACAAGCAAACGGTTAAGTGTGGGGGGATTTGATGACTCGATATTTGAACATGTTTTCCCCTTTGTTTCTTGATCGTTTAAGCTTGCATTATCGCTTCTTTGGCCTATTTTTAAGCTAGGTTATGTTCCTTTGTCACATTTCAGGTCCTAGCACATAAAGTGAAGCGTAGGCGCAAGTTTCAAGTCAATCGGAGATCAATTGGCGACTCAGGGGAAGAAACTCGGGTATGACTTGAAGAAGAATGGATTTCTACCTCTGTTTGTGACCATATAATCATGTAATCTTGTCATGAGAAGAAAGAGGACGAGACTACGAGCATCTGGGATCAAACGGCACGTGATCAAACGGAACGAGGGAGAAACGAAGAATCAAAGATAGGGGAAAATTGGTTTCGAGCTTCTCTGAGAAACAGAAGGGGGCCCTATCGTGACACTAAAATCCCCGGTAGGGTATTTTTGGCCTTGATAGGGGATTTTCCCCTGTCTCCAGACGTTGCGTTTTCAAAAATCCCCGGTCGTGAACCAAAAATCCCCGGCCGTGACCTAAAATACCCGACAGGGGATTTTGACCGGGGGTCGCGAACGCAGGCTGTTAAACGCCTGTTTTGTGCGTTTTTGCAAGGGAGAGCTGGGTATTGGATCCCAAACACCCAAGGGACGAACCAAAGAAAGAGAGGGCGATTTGAGGGCATTCTTGGAGTGGAATTGGAGGATTTCTTCGCCTTGGAAGCTCGAGGAACAAGCCCGGACTTGAAGACTGATCATCTGAAGATTCTTACTGCACTCTCTCTTCTCTATGGAGTAACTTCCCTTCACTTAGGTTTTGAGGAACCTTAACTATGTTTGTTTGATTGGATGATTATATGAGTACTCTGACTTGATAATCTTGAGTTCATATTCAATCTATGCATGTTTTCACGATTCAATTATGCTTTAGTCGAGATTATTGATTCTGCTTTGATCCTATGAGAGCGAATACCTGATTAGGTCAATAGAGCACCATAGATTGATAATAGTGGATCGATTTCTTTAGTCGAGGGTTGATTCACTGCTTTGTATCGATTGAGAACCTCATTCGATAGAGGGAGTCTAGTTCAGAATGCCTTGATCGGTTGTTCTAGAGAAGGAACGTCCCTCTAGGCAATTGACTCAAGAGGGCCTTGTTCCTTTAGTCGAGACTCAAGGTCTAGTCAAGGATTCTCCGCATTGTGAATGAAAGTGAAACAAGTTAGAGATCATCAATCGTTAATCTGGCTAGTGGCTAGGGGGAATCATACCTAAGTGAGTTCCCAACCTGTGATTAGATTAACTTTAACTGTAGTTTGTTAGAGTAGTTTTAGTTCTTTCATCTTAATCTGGTTTGCTAGATAATGAACTGAAGCTGAGTAATAGTAACTCTAGAGACCCTTGGATTCGATATTTATTACTTGAGCCACTATACTGCAGTCCCTTTCATTGGTTACACTTGGTCTTTGTCAGGAGTTGTGTCATAGCGAGTCAGATCGCTCCTCGGGAATCGCATGGTCACTTTTCCCATGGTTTCCTGGTCTGTTTAACCCTCGACTTTAGACGTCGTCGTTTGGGGCTAGGCGTCCTTGTCCGCGCGGGGTAGCTTGGGCGCGCTTGGGATCTCACACCGCGCGGGCCTCGGCTCCTTCGCGCGGTTAGACCCGAGTCATATTCCCAACAACTGCAATTCGCCATTTGCACATCACTGATTCGGGAATAAAACTATAGAATTTCGAAAGGAAACTGAAAATGTTTAGGATCGTTTTAATGTTAAAAATAACCAAATAGATCTTTATGTTTAGTTTTTCACTAACAAATACCAAACGATTCCCTATAATATACACTATAATTTAATCATTATGATATCATATAATTACATAATATATATTTGAAATGATAAAAATTGGACTAATTGGGTTGGTCGAGGTTGAACCATTGAATACCTTTAAAATACATTATATTTTAGCCACTAAGATATAAAATAATAGCATAATATATAGGGTTGATACCACTAGGGAACCCGAACTATTAACTATTCGATATGACAATTGTGTCCTAAACTATTTCTCCTTTAGAGTTGACCAGCGTTGACCGTTAGTTTTTAACAGAAAATCCAGTAAGCGCTGATGTGGCATCTGAAGTGGAATTTATAATATTAATTTATAATTAATTTTCATATAAAAAAAGAAAATTACAAAAACAAAAAACAAAAACATATATGATTTGTGGATTATTTTTTGGGACACAATTAATCGTTCTCTTCATCGATTAATCGTTTTCTTCTTCAATCCCAAGTTGGATTAACCCACCCCTTCAATCCCAACCCAGATCCTGAAATCCTTCACCCTCCCAACCCTAAAATTAATCCCCTTCCATCCGCTCCATAATCGCCGCCGTCGAGCACCTCGAAGTGAACATCGACCCCCGCTGCCGTCGAGTGCTCTCGAATAGACTCGACAGGTCGAATCCCGACGACATCGACGAGATGAATTGAAACGCGTTGAATAATTTCGGCGAGGAAATATTCGTCGCCGAAGGAATTGACGAAGAATTGACAATCCCTTCCTCTTACCCTTCTTCCTCTTCTTCCTCTTTAGGGTTCTTAGGGATTGAAAACACCAGAGGGCGAGGCTTACCCTTCCCTCTCCATTCTCCCAACCTCCGCCGCCGCACCTGTAAAACACTACTTCCATTCCACTTCTCTATCAGCGTAACCTGAAAACCACTACTTCCATTCCACTTCTCGACCGATGCAACATGAAACCGCTGCTCCCGTTGAAGCCTCGCCGTCGCTGCGGATTATATGAAACCCAGGAAACCCAGATCCAATGAAACCAAGAAATGGCGGTATTGAAATTAGATCTGCAGCGACGCGACGATTTGGAAGGGGTTCGAGATTTGGAATGGGTACGAGCTTCCCTCCGTCTCCTCGTTGACGATTTGGAAGGTTTCCCGACCTCCGTCAGCCACATACACCTTCCCCAGCCTTCATTACCTGATGGGAGCCGCCGCTCCATCTTCCTCCTGTCTGTTTGGAATTGGCGCAGTCGATTTGGAATTGGCGGAGGGAGGAGCAAGCTTGTTCTCGCTCTGACGGAGGGAGGAGCGCAAGGGGAGGACGAGCAGTTAGGTTGGGCCGCGGGGGCGGTTGAACAGAATCTTCCCCAGCCTTCATCGCCTGAGGTTGAACAGAATCTTTCCCCTGTCCATCGTGTTTCAAAATTTGAGCGGCTATGGTGAATCTGAGATGAGGAAGAAAGGGATTAGCTTTTATTTTTATTTAATTTTAATTTTAAAATAATAATCTGATGTGGCACCTGACGTGGCGCAGATGTGTCTGCCACATATGTGCCATGTAACCAACAGTCAACATTTTATGGTTGACCGTTTGGTCAACCGTTATCTATAACGGTCAACCAAACTGTCAGGACATAAATGACACAAAACTACCAAACGTTGGGACACAATTGTCATATCGAATACTTTAGGACACAAATGGCACAAAGTTAATAGTTCGGGTTTCCCAGTGGTATTAGCCCTAATATATATTATGCTAGAGAAAATAGCTTGTTTTAGAATGGCAAACCCATGATGTTCATTTGTTTTACTTGATGGGCAAATCCCGTGCAGGTTAGGCCCATTCAACTCTTTTATTTTATGATTAGCGGTTAGCCCATTAGAATCCATGCATTAGTTTATTGTTAAATTTTTTTCTTTTTAGCAATAAAAAGGAGTATTGTTTTTGCCTTTTCATATATATGTTACCACCACGGAGAAATAAAAGGACTTAAAGAAAAAAATTGACACTCCTGGACCCATTTAAATCCGCAAGTGTACGGTAAGTTGGCCCGTTCCACAGAGGAAAAAGAAAAAAATTGACACTCCCTATTCTACCCTTCCTACAAACGCTTCTGGAGCAGGGAATTTGAAATGGGGGAAGGGTTTTTTCCTCTCTGCGATTATATGTTTTTAATTTAAAAAGATACAACAAATGTACTTAGTGTGATTGGTTATGATCTTTGCTTTTCTTTAAAGTGGTCATGGTTCGAATCCTAGTAAGTGTCTTTTTAATGAATAAAAAAAAGTAATTGTGAAGACCAAAATGCCCTTCCTACTTTCACTCCGGATGCAGGAAATTTGAAATGGGGCTTCAAGTTTTCTCATTTGGCTTTTATTTATTGTGTAGATAGATAGATTACCTTGTGCTAACTGATGGCAATGGCGCAAGTTTGTACTGGATTTTCCTAAATTATTCTCATTTTCGTTTACAATAACCCAAATTCATACACCTACCCATACTCCTATACCCGCAGGTAATTCTTGTACCGTATGATATGAATTCAAAGCATTCAATCATACACATTCGTAAATCCTTAAAAACGAATTCAAAGCATCCAATCAATGAACACATAGTGAAAATTAGGAGAGTCTGCTGAGTTCCTTTCGTCGATGGATAGAGGGCGATGGACGAGATAAGAAGCGGCGTAGGGAATGAGGAGAATCTGTTCAGTTCCTATCGTCAGAGGATGAGGTGTTGGATGAGAGAGATGTGAAGTATGTAGGGAGATGATGAGTGAATGGTCGAGGGAATGAGGGATTAGGCTCGAGTTTGCGAAATTTTATTGGTGTGAAACGAGTTTGCAATTTAAGTATCCATTTACATTTCAATTATCTATTTGTTGAGAAAATTGTCATGAATTGAAAAATTATATGTTTTTTTTGCTTGACGAGGGGACCCACAACCAGACTTGCCTCATTCCCATTAATATCTTTGTGAATTTTACCTATACTCCCAATACCAATTAAAACGAAGATTTAATGTGTTAACTGAATCATAGACGGTCGGATAGTCATGATAACGAATTTGATTGTTATCCTTACTTGTGATGCTTGATAATTTATTTGTTTTTCATTAGAAGAAGTATAACACAAGATCTTTCCATTATTCATATAAAAAAAAAACACAAGATCTTTCCATTTTTACCGTAGACGAATTCCACGGTATCTGATTATCTTTGGTTATCAATATATCTGATTATCTTTGGTTATAAAAAAAAACAATTCCACCATTGGTGACAAATGATCACATAGAAGCTAGCCAATTATTTACAGACCGTTGATAGAATAATCAATTTTCGGCGTCAATGAAAACAACCCTCTAAATAAAGACGTAGCAAGTCAAAACCCAAAAACGATAAAGAGAGAATTAGAGGCATGGGAAAGAGGAAGCCGGCAGGCAGGCAGCCCCCCATCATCATCATTAATGCTTCCAATCTAATTTGACCTCATATTTGCAATTAATTAACGACACTAATTATTACCTAATAAAGAATTCCATCGACAATCTCAACAGACTTTTATAAACAAACCCAATACTACTTCACGTTCAACACTCGCTTTTAATTTCCTCCCCTCTTAACCAGGAACGGGCAGTTTCCTCTCCCTCTCTAAATTCCGTGCACTCTCTCCCTCCTTCTCATCAATCTTCAGCTTCTCACTGACTGACAGATCCATCTAGAGCGAGGAGAAAGAAGTAAAAATGCTTGAAACTCACAAGCCGAGCCCTCTCCTCATCAACAACAAGAATCCATTCACGACGGACGACAATTACCACGGCGGCTCCCCCGCGGCCGTCCCCTTCACGTGGGAGTCCCAGCCGGGGACTCCCAAGGTCAGTTTCCGCCGCCGCGACGCCTCCCTCCCTCCGCCGGCGCCTCTCACTCCGCCGCCTTCCTACTTCTGCTCCCCTTCTCCCAATCATCACCACAGCGCCGCCACCCCGAAAAGATTCCCATCTCCATCACATCCCGCCACGTGGAACAACAACAGCAAGAAGAAGAAGAATCTCCTCGACACTCTCTTCTTCACCAGACGAAGCAACAACTACAAGTACAGCAAGGCAACTTCAAATACAGCGCCGTTTTCATCTCCCGTGTATTCCTCCTCCTCCTCGTATTCTTCCTCGTCGTCAACGACGACGTCACGCTCCGTTCCTTCTTCCCCGGTCACTGCCCGGCCGTCTTCACAGCAGAGGAACAGCCACGTGGCAGCAGTAGCTTCCGGCCCGAAGAAGTCGTTCGGCGATATGCTACTAACGGGGAACCAGCGCCATCGCGAGGATGAAGAGGAGGATGAGTGCGATTCGCCGGTTTCCACGCTCTGCTTCGGAGCGGGCCGTGGGCCCAGTAATTCCAGGGCCCGGCCCGGGTGCTACGGATCCTTCATGAAGGTATTGATCAGCGCTTAATTGGGCTTGGACATGTGATGTGAGGACTCAATTGTAATATTCTCTCGTTCAATGATGATGTTTTAGGGTTTCATAAAATCAAGCTAATTATATATTATGTACGTAATTAGCTAGGATCTGAATTGAACGTGTTTTTTTTTGGAGCAATGTTGGGAGCACTTCGGCAGCTTGGTAGCTAGTTGCATATGCTATGTAATGCCATTTGCCTGGTATAAGAAATCGAAAGCAAAGCTTTATAATAATCATCGTTAATTAGTTTGTCGCATTACTTTTTTAGTTTGTTTTATTTCTTTCTGAACTTAGGTCGTGCATACACATATACCTCGTAAATTAGTTTCGGATCTTGGAAATTTGTCGAGATTTGATGAGGATTAATCCCGGAAATGAAGTACAACAAGCTATTTGAAATGGAATTTTCAAAATTAGTTAAGTTGTTATATATGCTTGGATTAAACATGAGTGTACCTAAGCACCGGGCCGGTAGCTCACGGACTAACACGACATGACACGGTTAGAGTACGAGCTCGGGCATGAAATATATAGGCCAGCTTGACACGAGATAAACAGGTCCGAAGCTAAATCACAAAACAAAACTACAAAAATAATTATTTAATGTTGTTAGAAATGATTAATGAAGATATTATATGTAATTGTTACGATAAGTAAAAATGGCCGCAGAATTAAACCAAATTACACCGCTATGCTTTTAATTTTTTCTTTTCCTTATTTGTTACTTTTCTCAAATATTTTTAATTAATACTTTCATTTTCTATCCAATTTGCTCCTTCTTTTTCATTCCCTATTTTATTTTTTTCCTTTTCGTTTGGCACTAATATGAGCACGAGTAGGCATGACACAATTCAAATTGTATTTGAGCGAGGTATAGTAAATTTGAAAAAAGAGTTGGCACGACATGAGAAGAAAGCTGTTGAGCCGTGCCAAACACGACACGAGATAAACAGGCCAGAAGCGTGCTTATGTTTTGCCGGCCAAACATGACCCAACGCCTAGGTACAAACATGAGAGAATTTGGGGGGATCAAAATTCTGATAATGTGATTTCAATTGTCCTGACAACAATCTATCACCACAAGAAATGAAGTACACCAAGTGTTCGGTGTAAGTAAGTAAGCAATATAAGATTCATATATAAATAATTCGAGTGGTTATCAAAACTAGTTAATTTATGAAATGATATAAGAGCTTGTTTAACTGTGCACTCCTATGTTCATGTCATTACGATAGGGGAAGAGCAAGAATTTGATTCTCGAGGAGCCGAAATTTCTTACTTTTCTTTCAACTCTTGTCCTTGATCTGTCTTAATAACCTGAGATTTGTTAAACTGGTTATGTACCATAATACAAAAGGATTATAGTAAAGCTCTTAACTCATCTTTTGACTTCGTTCACGCACATTAGATCATCAACAATGGTTAAGAAATAACTGAACTCATATTGCTCAAAGGCCCCAATTATCCACATTCATAAAAGCAAAACAATGAAGGGTGAGCAGAAGTGCTAACAAGAAATGAAGATCTGTTTTCTTAAAAGGCATACGTCATAATCAGTGGGATCCAAAACTAAATGTGTCCTCTTTTCAGAATATAAATAAATAATTGTTGAATATAATTAAAATTAATAATATTAAAATAATTCATTCACATATAAAAAAAAAACTACTAATACAATATTTTCATAAACAATCACGTTCCTTTTTCATATTTAGAAAGAAATGCAAAATATATTCGTTGTAAGTTGTAATGATGCTAAAACCCCCCTTTTTTTTGCAAAGAGAAATGTGGATAGCGGATCACCTTCTTTTGATAAGGGTGAATGAGTGAACAATTTAACCATTAATAGGTAAAGACTTATGAATCAAGTGAATAAGGACTTAGACAATGGTATAATCATTGGTGT